CACTCCAGACCCGCCCCAGCCCCTCCAGAGCCAGCCCAGCCCAGTGGTGCTGTGGCTCCAGGACACACATTCCCACCCAGCACTCTGCCTGGTTCTCCCAAGGAGGCAAACTCTTGATGTGCCTACACTCACCCTGGAAATATCAACTAACTGAAACCCCACATCTAGCAGGTTAGGTGTAATACACACTAAATACTCCATTATAGGTCACCTAATAGTGGAACTGGCAGAGCCACAGCTTCAGAACAGCAAGCCAATCATCTCTATTAGAGGGCAAAATAAAAACTTCAAAGCAACAAGCTTTGTCCCTCTCACAACTCAGACAGATGATTAATAAAGTTAATAATATGGGTATGGGAACCAAAAGCTGCCAATAGAGAAATTTTTAAAAGAGCACTCATTTCCTCTGTCTCAGACTTAATATAATCGTATAGAATTTAATTCTATGCACTTTGGTTTCTAATCAAGAATCTCTGTCACCAGTAAAACATGCACAGGCTAACGGGCACACAGCCCACACACACGGGCCCTGGCAGGGAGATGTAGCTCCTGACACAGGGGTGCAGGGGTGAGCAAACACAAGCTGCCTGTCAGGAGTTACTTCCTCCTCATTTACCAGCTCCACCCCTGCAGTCCTGCAGAGACAAGCTCGTGGCAACCAAGCACTTATTTCCCAAGTCTTGTTTTGTCTCAGGAGAGAGAGGGGGGAAAAAAAAAAGGTTTTATATAACCTAGAGCATGCAAAAGGGCACACAACGTGCATGCAAGCTCCCACAGGTTTGCTGAGCCACACATCAGTATGAGTTCCTGCTCCTGTGGTTTGACAGCCCCTGTGTGCACGTTTGCAGCCTCTGGACATTGAGCTGTCCCTGGTTCTCCCACTCCACCTTCCCCTGGTGACTACGTGGTGTTGAGGCACCCACCCCCCTACCCAGGCAGTTATTTCCTTTCCCTTTCAGCTGCAGTGATGCATTTCTCACATCACAATTACACATCCTCACCTTCGTTTGTGAGGGAGGCTAAGGTTTTAATCATCAGAGGCTGCTAAGAACAGCTTAGATAAACAACAGCCAGCCATGGCACGGATCCCTCACTGGAGCAGGGAGATGGGCTAGGTAACCTCAAGGTCTTTCCAGCTCCTCTCCTCTCACAAGCAGCTCGAGTTCAAACGCACCCAAGCGCATCCCCACACACATACTTGTGTGCAGTAACCTCTGCTCCTCCTCGTGAAAGTGCTGGGGCCTGGCAAGGGCACTCTGGCTAGAGAAGAGAGGAGGTGGCTTCTCCTCAGCACCCAGCATCTCAGGCCTCCAGCCAGCACAGGTCAGCCCAGAGTCAGAGAGAGCAGTAAGTGTAGTCTGTGCTACACAAGAACCAGGTTCCTTCCCAACCCCGCTCCCTCGGAAGGGGAATCCACAGGGAGAAGGCTGTGTTGGAAAGCCTTGAGCCTGATCCTTATGCAAACCCCAACAAGCTGGGTTGGAGGGAGCCCCACCCTCCAATCCACTTTACAACAGTCAGTTTTGTTGGGTCAGGGGTTCCCACCATCCTCCCCTGAGCTCGGGGACTTCATGCCTGCTGGAATCTAGCCTGGCCAGCACCAGCCCAGCAGGGCCTGTGTGCCCATCAATGGGCTGCCCCGGGCCATGCAGGCTGGGCTAGCCCACCACAGCTCAGAAGAGTGCCCTCAAGGGCTGTGGTTCCCCAGAGTGACAGGAACCCAGGATCTGCTGCCAGTTCACTGAGGAGTGAGTCATTCATTCAGGATTGCTTTCCTGGGGGAGATGGAGCGATGAGCTGTCCCTGTCCTCACCAAACCCAACAGTCAGATTTCCTCTTTGACAGCACAGTGGGTGCTGATGGACACGTTCCTGCTGGAGGCAAGCTGGCAGATACAGCTACAACCAACGAGCTCTCCTGAGGTAGTTCTTTGCACGAGCAAAAGAAGACATCACTAATGTAAATCGTGGCAATTTCCCAAATGGCAACAGCACATTTCTGCTCACGTAACGGCATTTAACTTACGTCTTTGCTACTACAGAAGGGCAAAAATGAGTAAATCCCCTGCCTCCTTCCCAGCCCACACTCCTGCAAGCCCAGCTCCAGCTCCACTACCAGCCCTTCTCTAGGTCTGGCTGCCATTTTGAGCTGTGCCAAGCAGTCTATTCGGTGAAGCTTAGGCAGACTACACGTTTCCCCTGTCTAGGACTATTTTGATTCCAGCATTAATCACAGCAATAACAGATGGTTGCCTGACGTTTGCGGTTCAGATTGTTCAGCTGCCCAAGTAACCTCTGGGACAGTGAAGTCCCCAGTGC